GAATAGCTAAGAATAGAATTGAATAGCTTAGAATGGCTTAAAATTAAATTAAATTGTTAAATTAAGTTGAGCTAACTATTAAACTGGTACAGATTCGCTGTTCTTCCAACGAGATATCAGTTAAAAATGGTATACTTTGATAATATATTTTTGCTGCCGGTATGTTGATAAAGGAATAAAATAATCATCGCCTCCTTTGATTAATTACACTCGAATGGTTACCATTAAAATCAATAACTTAAAGGGTAAGCAATGTAACCATATGAATACTACTACTTATCACGCACATCAGTAGCTTATAGGTTATATTGTTTGCAGATCTGGATAAATTGAGCTAGCAATTAAACTGGTACAGATTCACTGTTCTTCCAACGAGATATCAGTTAAAAATGGTATACTTCGATGATATATTTTTGCTGCCGGTATGTTGATAAAGGAAGAAAAATAATCATCGCCTCCTTTAATTAATTACACTCGACTGGTTACCACCAAAATCAATAAATTATATGGTTTATTGGTTGCCTATCTGGTCAGATTGAATGAAAATTCCCATTTGGGCCTATTCACTGTCCTTGAAATGACGTATTTGTCCGAAATGGTGCTTGTAGATAAAGGGCAAATACGAAATGTATGTCCGTCATCGCTGCTTATTTTCTACAAATGTCCTCCCATCAAACACAAATCCGATTGCTTTAATGTCGTCTTCTCGACGACCCTCAGCTTGATTGGTTTCCTACTGATCTCATATTTTCAGTCGAACGCACGGACTCGAACGTGGGCCCATGTAGTTCTGGCAGTCAACGTTGTCTCAACCACGACTCATGACATCATTTTTCGCCCATTTTCCCAAAAAGCGAAATCACAAAAGTGGCCACTCTCGCAATCTCCGCCGAAGCTTTCTTCCGGCCTTCGGTACATCGAATCCCGCTCCGAACCGGCGCCACCCACTTCCGCGACCAACCGACGCACATGCTGACTGTAAAACAAACCAACACTTGCGAGCACAAATGTCAATGTGTTGCTATGCAAAATGAGATTGACAATGATAGGTACCTTTTCTGTGAGAGAGGGCGAGGTGAGAGGAGGCGGGGAGTGTGTTCTTTTGGGCTTTGTCAGTCGGTCCACACACCTCCTCAATGCCCCAAAGCGGCAGATGAGTTGGGCAGTTTGGCAAATGGCGCCCGGAGCATGTGGCGCCATTCCCATCGGCTGGTACAATGTCGTCATGGCTTGAGGCCACAGGTCGGCGTGATTCCACACACCAACACTCCCTCGTGTCAATATGTTTGTCCGGATGTGTATGTATACATGTGTCTGTACATGCATCTGTGCTTGTCAGTGTGTGCCTGTGTGTGTGTGAATGTGCGTACATATTGTATGCATAAATGCGTGACAGTGTGAATTCACACATTCATACCAACACACATGAATACACAAATAAATAGGCATGTATCAAAACATGTGTTCATGTGTGAGTAAATGTGTGCATGTTTGTATACAGGCATCAATGCATGCATGTTTGTATACAGGCATCAATGCATGCACGTTTAGCTGCATGTGTATACGTGTATTTGTC